GGAGGGTTACCTCGGAAGGTACCTTAGTCACCTAAGTAACTTCGGAGGCTCCCCTTAAATTCACTAAGGAGGGTCAATAAGAGGCTTAACACGCTCCGGAGGGTTGCTTCGGAGGGTTCCTTCAAAATTTTTCAAGTCGCACTTAGAGGGGTCTCCAACTAGTCTGAGAAAGTGTCAAAACAAGCTGAATTCACTCTTGTGGGTTATCTTATCCCCCTAGGAGGGTTGCGTGAAAAATTTTCACTAAAGGGTCTTAGCTGGCTCCGCGGGTTCGCTTCGGAGGGTTCCCCAAAAATCACGAAAACAGATAAGTTCACCGCTCTAAAGCCTCCGATTGCAGTCTAACTTGGGTTGGCTGACTCGGTCAACCATCCCAGTAAGATAAAAAGCTGATTTTATTAAAATTTCTGCCGCTCGGAGTGTTCCTTGATATTTGGACCCTCCGAACTAACAAATTCTAAAAAAATTTTCTCTCCTGAAGTTATCAACCTGAAAACGGTTGTAATTCAGAAAAGTGGTCAAAAGCGTCGACTTATGGTACCAAAATTATTCCGATCGGTTGGTTAGTCTTTGAGAAATCACCAAAAACGCGTTCGTCAAGTTGGCCTTTTTTCACCACCTATATAGGTTCTCAGGGACTTCTCCCGCAACTCTTAGTGAAAGTGCCTAAAAATACTTGAAACGAGCTAGTAACCCCGTACGGCACAGGAATAACGCAAAAAACCGGATCAAATTTGGTTTGGAATCATAAATTTGGCCAAAAACTATCAAATTTCGACTATCCGTTTCCTTCCTTTTCCTATTTTTAAGTCCTTAGCTCTATCCACGGAGCTATTCGGAGGGTTACTCGAAAATTTTTCAGACAACCGAGCAGGTTATGCTAGCACGCTCCTAACACAAAAAAGTTTTTTACCGCTCTAACTCTGAAAACTCAAAAACTCGATCCTCAAAACATATTGACGAAAATCGTTAATTTTATTTTCGCTAACTTCTACTAAGTCTTTTTCTGCGCGGTTTCTTTAGTCAGGGGGATCGAACTACCTAGTAGCTCACTGTACAAAAGCTTCTTGCTGTTCAGAGAAGCTCGGATATCCAAAATTTTGGGGTTAAACAGTTTGGTCGAAAATCGGTATTTTTCGAAAAAATTGGGGTGTTTCTCGGGTCTAAATGGGAGATAGGTAAAATATAATGAAGATAATAACCTATTAGTAGTCGTTAATCAATATTACTATACCCTCCTTTGCACCAGATTATCCGAATTAAGACGCTTAACCCGGAAATTCGCAATCGATGGAGGGTGCAATCGGACCGATCCAATTGTGCCCCCCACCACTTAAGTTTTAATGAAATAGTACCCGAACGATACTAAAAGTGTATCAACGATACCCTACAGTCGTTGTGAATGTCGTCCCTGATGCCCTTTGCTGAGTCTGGAACACGTCTGTCAGCTTGCTACTCTACCCTCCTTTCACCGGCAATATTATCATTAACGTGCCTAAACACTCAAACTACACTCAAAGGAGGGTACCCAACCCACCAACAAAACGCTTGATCTCTCAATCAGTAATGATATAAATCAATCTGAAACAACAACATTAGTAAGGCCAGATCTCATCCCGTCTGGAAGCAATATTTAAACTGTCAGTTTACATTTTTTAGTTTTTGGTCTTTTTTCGGATTTTTTACTGTTTTTTGTACTTTTCTGTTTTCAAGTAAATTAATTTTTGGCTTTTTCTTGGTTATTTGCTATTTTTGTTCAGTTTTACGCTTTCTCTTTATTTCTTTTTGTTCTCGGGACTTTGGGATATGCGGGCTCATGACCTCCCACCTAACCCTCCGGCACCCGGAAATTTTTGGTCTTAACTAAGTTAAAAAGCTAAATAGTACCAGGCGGAGGGTCGGTACCTTCCGCCTAGTACCATAAAGGATATTAAAGCCTCTAGCTTAGGCATACGCCCGGAGCGGAGGGTTCGTCGCTGAAACGTTTGCTGGCATGATGGTCTTATGCCTTTGACAGGCCCATCCAAGAGCGCCATAAAAACGTCAATGTAACAATCGCCCAAATACTACGCAGTGTCGGAGCGTAGAAAAAGTAGCTATTGACGACTGGCCGGCGTCAGTTACCTAGATTCTACTCGTTTTTCACCGTCTCGACCTTTCCAGTTGATTTTCTGGTCTGTTTCGGGCTAAGTAAAAAGTTACTATTTTCAGGCCATCAGTCAAACGACTTTTAATCAGCTTCCGTTACATGCGAAGACAACCACGTAGCTGGGTCTCGCATCCCCAGACTACTTGATTGCTTTTAAGAACACAGCTCGAATTTTCTATTTTACTATGTTTTTGTGACAGTTCTATATTAAATCCATTGGAGATGGGTTGACCCTTCCCTCTTTCTAATTACTCATATTCTAAAATAACAAATAATACCGGTGTTAATTCAAACGTTCAGGACATCAGAGTAGCTAAAAAGTTAGTTTACTATAGTCTTTCGCTATTAATCAGTCTTTGGGGGCCAAGCCTCCGCTTGCGCGCTCTTCCAGTAATAACGTCGTTATTACTCTAACTTCGTGGCACCGCAGGGTACTGCTCCTTCCGTCTGCCCCACTAAAGCCTCCTTTCTGGCTAATTACTTCAGTTAAGTGTCTTATCGTGCGTGATCGTCACAATAAGAGGCTTCGCTTTTTCTTTCAATTTTCTCGACCGTCTGTCTCTCGCTAGTTCGGTTGTTTTTCTCTTTTTTCTCTATTTTCCTGCTAAACATGGCCGTTTTGCATTTCTCAGAAAAGTAACGTCGCAATTCGAATTTTTTAAAAATTTTTCTTCTGGAATAATCTAGCCTCCTTAACATCAATGTATGACGACTAAGATCTCTAATGTTGTTTTCGTGCTGCGACGGAAGGTTCCGCTGTGCAAATCCGGGGGAATCGCACAAATTTAGAGCATTAGACTTACAAACCCCAAGGATAGTTAGTCGTTGAATCTGAATAGCTATCAATGTATTGATTGGTGTAGAACTAAGCAGCCATTTTTGGTAAGTATTTCTGATGTGCTTACATTTCATCACTTCAGTCTAGATTAGAAAGTGAAGAGAAACTTCGATCTGGATGTTATGCAATTAGGAACTCGAATTTGATACCACGCATACCAAAAAAAGTGGAAGTGTCACATCGCTTTCGCCCCCTATGCCACCTCCTCGAAGTATTTTAGGCAATCATTTTGATCAAAAACTAATTTCATTTTGAGCCTCAATATAGTGTTTGTTGAGTTTCTTGATTGGGTAAACTTAATCCGCACAAGCAATCTGGAAAAGTTCGAGGTTCATATATCAAAATTCTCAATTGTTCCTGACAGGAGTGGGAATTGAACCCACTCATCCCAAGAAACTGCGGCCGACCTACAATGCCTTAGACCACTCGGCCATCCTACCAATGTCAAAAATCATCTCTATGCTTGCTATAACTTTCAAAACTTGGTCGAAGTAATATAGGCAATACAGAGAATTATTTTGCCTATTCTGCATTTTGAAAACGCTGTTGGTCATCTGAACTGCCAACACTTACAATTAACGTGATTGGCTATGGAGACCAAAATCTAAGAAAACCTCTTCCTCTGACAGCTGGGGGATTCGAACCCACGAATCCGTAGATACTGCGGCCTGAGGGCTGCGGCTTAGACCACTCGACTATGCTGCTTTTAAGTTTTGTGCTTAAATTTTTTAAATAATTTTCAATCCAGAGAATTTTTTTGTTCTGCATGTTGCAAAATCTTTTAGCCATTTGAATTGCCAATAGTCGCAATTAATTTGGTTGGCTAGGGAGACTAAAATAATATAAAACCTCTTTCTCTGACAGTTATGGGATTCGATACTTCGGCATGAACGCAGCGGCTTAGACCACTCGAACATGCTGCATTCAAATTTTATGCTTAAAATTTTCAATTAATTTTCACTCCAGAGAATATGTTTGTTTGTTCCGCATGTTGCAAATTCTTTTAGTCCTTTGAATTGCCAATAGTCACCATTAGTGTGGTTAGCTAGGGAGACTAAATTGTCAGAAAACCTTTTTCTTTGACAGGAGTTGGTTTCGAGCCTACGTATCCGAAGATACTGCTACCTAAACGCAGAGCCTTAAACCACTCGGCCTTCCTGCCTTTATAGCAGTCTTTCAAAAACTCTAAGCAATTTTCAATCAAGAGTTAATTTTGTTTATTCTGCGTGTTGCAAAATTTTTTGGGACTTTGAATTGCTAACTTTGGTTCGCTAGGGGTTTTTACATTCTCAAAAAATCCTTTTCCTTGACAGGAGTGGGTTCGAATTCACGCATCCGAAGATTCTGCGGCCTTAACGCAGCGCCTTAGACCACTCGGCCATCCTGCCTATATGGCTTATTCTTTAAAATTTTAAGTTCTTTTCAATCCAGAGAATATTTTTGTTTCTTCTGCATTTTGCAAACGTTGTTGGTCATCTGAACTGTCAAAACTTACAATTAGTGTGATTGGCGATGGAGGCTATAATCTCAGAAAACCTTTTTCGCCCATAGATGTGGGTTTCGAACCCAATAATCTGAATATATTGCTCTCTGAACGCAGTGGCTTAGACCACTCGAACATGCTGCTATCAAATTTTATGCTTAAAATTTTCAATTTATTTTCACTCCAGAGAAAATTTTCGGTTGTTCCGCATTTTGCAAAATCTTCTAGTCCTTTGAATTGCAATTAGTGTGGTTGGCTAGGGAGACTAAAATATCAGAAAGTTTTTTTTTTGATAGGAGTCTGATTCGAAACCACGCATCCGAAGATACTGCCACCTGAACGTAGCGCCTTAGACCACTCGGCCATCCTGCCGTTTCTGCAATCTTTCAAAAACTTCAAGTAATTTTAAATCCAGAGATTAGTTTTGTTTGTTCTGCTTGTTGCAAAATTTTTTGGGACTTCGAATTGCTAATACTTGCCATCAGTGTGGTTCGCTAGGGGTTACTCCAATCTCAAAAAATCCCTTTCTTTGACAGGAGTGTGATTCGAACACACGCATCCGAAGATACTGCGGACTTAACGCAGCGCCTTAGACCACTCGGCCATCCTGCCGTTACTTCAATCTTTCAAAAACTTTAAGTAATTTTCAGTCCAGATATTAGTTTTGTTTTTTCTACTTGTTGCAAAAATCTTTGGGACTTTGAATTGCTAATACTTGCAAACAGTGTGGTTCGCTAGGGGTTACTCCATTCTCAAAAAATCCCTTTCTTTGACAGGAGTGGGATTCGAACCCACGCATCCGAAGATACTGCGGCCTTAACGCAGCGCCTTAGACCACTCGGCCATCCTGCCTTTATGGCTTAACCATTAAAAATTAAAGTACTATTCAATCCAGATAAGATTTTTGTTTCTTCTGCGTTTTGCAAATGTTGTTGGTCATCTGAACTGTCAAAACATACAATTAGTGTGCTTGGCGATGGAGGCTATAATCTCAGAAAACCTTTTTCGCCCATAGTTGTGGGTTTCGAACCCACTATTCTGGAGATATTGCTCCCTGAACGCAGTGGCTTAGACCACTCGAACATGCTGCTATCTAATTTTATGCTTAAGTTTTTCAATTAATTTTTACTCCAGAGAAAAATTTTGTTTGTTCCGCATTTTGCAAAATCTTCTAGTCCTTTGACTTGCCAATAGTCGCAACTAGTGTGGTTGGCTAGGGAGACTAAAATATCAGAAAATTTTTTTCTTTGACAGGAGTGGGATTCGAACCCACGCATCCGAAGATACTACGACCTGAACGCAGCGCCTTAGACCACTCGGCCATCCTGCCGTTACTTCAATCTTTCAAAAACCTTAAGTATTTTTCAGTCCAGAGATTAGTTTTGTTTATTCTGCTTGTTGCAAAAGTTTTTGGGACTTTGAATTGCTAATACTTGCAATCAGTGTGGTTCGCTAGGGGTTACTCCATTCTCAAAAAATCCCTTTCTTTGACAGGAGTGGGATTCGAACCCACGCATCCGAAGATTCTGCGGCCTTAACGCAGCGCCTTAGACCACTCGGCCATCCTGCCGTTACTTCAATCTTTCAAAAACTTTAAGTAATTTTCAGTCCAGATATTAGTTTTGTTTTTTCTACTTGTTGCAAAAATCTTTGGGACTTTGAATTGCTAATACTTGCAAACAGTGTGGTTCGCTAGGGGTTACTCCATTCTCAAAAAATCCCTTTCTTTGACAGGAGTGGGATTCGAACCCACGCATCCGAAGATACTGCGGCCTTAACGCAGCGCCATACACCACTCGGCCATCCTGCCTATATGGCTTAATCATTAAAATTTGAAGTACTTTTCAATCCAGATAATATTTTTGTTTCTTCTGCATTTTGCAAACGTTTTTGGTCATCTGAACTGTCAAAACATACAATTAGTGTGATTGGCGATGGAGGCTATAATCTCAGAAAACCTTCTCCCATAGATGTAAGATTCGAACCCACTAATCTGAAGATATTGCTCCCTGAACGCAGTGGTTTAGACCACTCGAACATGCTGCTATCTAATTTTATGCTTAAAATTTTCAATTATATTTCACTCCAGAGAAAATTTTCGTTTGTTCCGCATTTTGCAAAATCTTCTAGTACTTTGACTTGACAATAGTCGCAATTAGTGTGGTTGGCTAGGGAGACTAAAATATCAGAAAATTTTTTTCTTTGACAGGAGTGGGATTCGAACCCACGCATCCGAAGATACTACGACCTGGACGCAGCGCCTTAGACTACTCGGCCATCCTGCCGTTACTGCAATCTTTCAAAAACTTTAAGTATTTTTCAGTCCAGAGATTAGTTTTAGTTATTCTACTTGTTGCAAAAATTTTTGGGACTTTGAATTGCTAATACTTGCAATCAGTGTGGTTCGCTAGGGGTTACTATATTCTCAAAAAATCCTTTTCTTTGACAGGAGTGGGATTCGAACCCACGCATCCGAAGTTTCTGCGGCCTTAACGCATCGCCTTAGACCACTCGGCCATCCTGGCGTTACTTCAATCTTTCAAAAACTTTAAGTAATTTTCAGTCCAGAGATTAGTTTTAGTTATTCTACTTGGTGCAAAAATCTTTGGGACTTTGAATTGCTAATACTTGCAAACAGTGTGGTTCGCTAGGGGTTACTCCATTCTCAAAAAAATTCCCTTTCTTTGACAGGAGTGGGATTCGAACCCACGCATCCGAAGATACTGCGGCCTTAACGCAGCGCCTTAGACCACTCGCCCATCCTGCCTATTTGGCTTAATCATTAAAGTTATGAGTACTTTTCAATCCAGATAATTTTTTTGTTTCTGCATTTTGCAAACGTTGTTGGTCATCTGAACTGTCAAAACAAACAATTAGTGTGATTGGCGATGGAGGCTATAATCTCAGAGAACCGTTTTCTCCCATAGATGTAGGATTCGAACCCACTAATCTGAAGATATTGCTCCCTGAACGCAATGGCTTAGACCACTCGAACATGCTGCTATCTAATTTTATGCCTAAAAATTTCAATTAATTTTCACTCCAGAGAAAATTTTCGTTTGTTCCGCGTTTTGCAAAATTTTCTAGTCCTTTGACTTGCCAATAGTCGCAATTAGTGTGGTTGGCTAGGGAGACTAAAATATCAGAAAAGTTTTTTCTTTGACAGGAGTGGGTTTCGAACCCACGCATCCGAAGATACTGCGATCTGAACGCAGCGCCTTAGACTACTGGGCCATCCTGGCGTTACTTCAATCTTTCAGAAACTTTAAGTAATTTTCAGTCCAGAGATTAGTTTTGTTTTTCTACTTGGTGCAAAAATCTTTGGGACTTTGAATTGCTAATACTTGCAAACAGTGTGGTTCGCTAGGGGTTACTCCATTCTCAAAAAAATTCCCATTCTTTGACAGGAGTGGGATTCGAACCCACGCATCCGAAGATACTGCGGCCTTAACGCAGCGCCTTAGACCACTCGGCCATCCTGCCTATATGGCTTATTCATTAAAATTATAATTACTTTTCAATCCAGATAATTTTTTTGTTTCTTCTGCATTTTGCAAACGTTGTTGGTCATCTGAACTGTCAAAACAAACAATTAGTGTGATTGGCGATGGAGGCTATAATCTCAGAGAACCGTTTTCTCCCATAGATGTAGGATTCGAACCCACTAATCTGAAGATATTGCTCCCTGAACGCAATGGCTTAGACCACTCGAACATGCTGCTATCTAATTTTATGCCTAAAATTTTCAATTAATTTTCACTCCAGAGAAACTTTTCGTTTGTTCCGCGTTTTGCAAAATTTTCTAGTCCTTTGACTTGCCAATAGTCGCAATTAGTGTGGTTGGCTAGGGAGACTAAAATATCAGAAAAGTTTTTTCTTTGACAGGAGTGGGTTTCGAACCCACGCATCCGAAGATACTGCGATCTGAACGCAGCGCATTAGACTACTGGGCCATCCTGCCGTTACTTCAACTTTCAAAAACTTTAAGTAATTTTCAGTCCAGAGATTAGTTTTGTTTATTCTGCTTGTTGCAAAAATCTTTGGGGCTTTGAATTGTGTGGTTCGCTAGGGGTTACTCCATTCTCAAAAAATCCCTTTCTTTGACAGGCGTGGGATTCGAATCCACGCATCTGAAGATACTGCGGCCTTATCGCAGCGCCTTAGACCACTCGGCCATCCTGCCTATATGGCTTAATCATTAAAATTTTAAGTAATTTTCAATCCAGATAATATTTTTGTTTCTTCTGCATTTTGCAAAATGTTGTTGGTCATCTGAACTGTCAAAACATACAATTAGTGTGATTGGCGATGGAGGCTATAATCTCAGAAAACCTTTTTCTCCCATAGATGTAGGATTTGAACCCACTATTCTGAAGGTATTGCTCCCTGAACGCAGTGGCTTAGACCACTCGAACAAGCTGCTATCTAATTTTATGCTTAAAATTTTAAATTAATTTTCACTCCAGAGAAAATTTTTGTTTGTTCCGCATTTTGCAAAATCTTCTAGTCTTTTGATGTGCCAATAGTCGCAATTAGTGCGGTTGGCTAGGGAGACTAAAATATCATAAAATTTTTTTCTTTGACATGAGTGGGGTTCGAACCCACGCATCCGAAGCTACTGCGACCTGAACGCAGCGCCTTAGACTACTCGGCCATCCTGCCGTTACTGCAATCTTTCAAAAACTTTTAGTAATTTTCACTCTAGAGATTAGTTTTGTTGCAAACATTTTTCGGACTTTGAATTGCTAATACTTGCAATCAGTGTGGTTCGCTAGGGGTTACCATTCTCAAAAAATACCTTTCTTTAACAGGAGTGGGATTCGAACCCACGCATCCGAAGATACTGCGGCCTTAACGCAGCGCCTTAGACCACTCGGCCATCCTGCCTTTATGGCTTAATCATTAATATTTTTGTTTCTTCTGCATTTTGCAAACGTTGTTGGTCATCTGAACTGTCAAAACATACAATTAGTGTGATTGGCGATGGATGCTATAATCTCAGAAAAATTTTTTTTCTGATAGATGTGGGATTCGAACCCGTTAATCTGAAGATACTGCTATCTGATTGCAGAGCCTTAGACCACTCGGCCATCCTGTCTTTATAGCAGTCTTTCAAAAACTTAAAGTAATTTTCAACCCAGAGATTAGTTTTGTTTATTCTGCTTGTTGCAAAAATTTTTGGGACTTTGAATTGCTAATACTTGCAATCAGTGTGGTTCGCTAAGGGTTACTCCATTCTCAAAAAATCCCTTTCTTTGACAGGAGTGGGATTCGTACCCACGCATCCGAAGATACTGCCGCCCTAACCAGTGCCTTAGACCACTTGGCCATCTTGCCTATATGCCTTATTCTTTAAAATTTTAATTACTTTCATTCCAGAGAATATTTTTGTTTCTTCTGCATTTTGCAAACTTTGTTGGTCATCTGAACTGTCAAAACTTACAATTAGTGTGATTGGCGATGGAGGCTATAATCTCAGAAACCTTTTTCTCCCATAGAAGTGGGATTCGAACGCACTAATCTGAAGATATCGCTCCCAGAACGCAGTGGCTTAGACCACTCGAACATGCTGCTATCAAGTTTTATGCTTAAATTTTTCAATTAATTTTCACTCCAGAGAAAATTTTCGTTTGTTCCGCATTTTGCAAAATCTTCTAGTCCTTGGAATTCCCAATAGTCGCAATTAGTGTGGTTGGCTAGGGAGACTAAAATATCGGAAAAATTTATTCTTTGATAGGAGTGGGATTCGTACCCACGCATACGAAGCTACTGCGTCCTGAACGGAGTGCCTTAGACCTTTCGGCCATCCTGCCTTTAAGTCGTAAGGCGTTAATTTTAAACTGGTTGTCAATCCAGAGAGTAATTTTTTCTGTTCTGCACGAACTTTGTTGGTCATCTCAACTGCCAAAATTTACCATTAGTGTGATTGGCTATGGAGGCTATAATCTCAGAAAACCTTTTTCGCTGACAGATGAGTGACTCGAACCCACAATTCCGAAGATTCTGCGGCCTTAACGCAGCGCGTTAGACCACTCGGCCATCCTGCCGTTAATGCAATCTTTCAAAAACTTTAAATAATTTTCAATCCAGAGATTAGTTTTGTTTATTCTGCTTGTTGCAAAAATTTTTGGGACTTTGAATTGCTAATACTTGCAATCAGTGTGGTTCGCTAAGGGTTACTCCATTCTCAAAAAATCCCTTTCTTTGACAGGAGTGGGATTCGTACCCACGCATCCGAAGATACTGCCGCCCTAACCAGTGCCTTAGACCACTTGGCCATCTTGCCTATATGCCTTATTCTTTAAAATTTTAATTACTTTCATTCCAGAGAATATTTTTGTTTCTTCTGCATTTTGCAAACTTTGTTGGTCATCTGAACTGTCAAAACTTACAATTAGTGTGATTGGCGATGGAGGCTATAATCTCAGAAACCTTTTTCTCCCATAGAAGTGGGATTCGAACGCACTTATCTGAAGATATCGCTCCCAGAACGCAGTGGCTTAGACCACTCGAACATGCTGCTATCAAGTTTTTTGCTTAAATTTTTCAACTAATTTTCACTCCAGAGAAAATTTTCGTTTGTTCCGCATTTTGCAAAATCTTCTAGTCCTTGGAATTCCCAATAGTCGCAATTAGTGTGGTTGGCTAGGGAGACTAAAATATCGGAAAAATTTATTCTTTGATAGGAGTGGGATTCGTACCCACGCATACGAAGCTACTGCGTCCTGAACGGAGTGCCTTAGACCTTTCGGCCATCCTGCCTTTAAGTCGTAAGGCGTTAATTTTAAACTGGTTTTCAATCCAGAGAGTAATTTTTTCTGTTCTGCACGAACTTTGTTGGTCATCTCAACTGCCAAAATTTACCATTAGTGTGATTGGCTATGGAGGCTATAATCTCAGAAAACCTTTTTCGCTGACAGATGAGTGACTCGAACCCACAATTCCGAAGATTCTGCGGCCTTAACGCAGCGCGTTAGACCACTTGGCCATCCTGCCTATTAAGCTTATTCTTCGAATTTTCAACCATTTTTCAATCGCGAGAAAATTTTTGTTTATTCTGCATTTTGCAAACATTGATGGTCATCTCAACTGTCAAAACTTACAATTAGTGTGGTTGGCTAGGGAGACTAAAATATGAGAAAATATACATTTCTTTAACAGGAGTGGGAATCGAACCCACGCATCCTAAGATTCTTCGACCTGAACACAGCGCTTTAGACCTTTCATCCATCCTGCCTTTACAGCTATCTTTCAAAAACTTAAAGTAATTTTCAATCCAGAGATTAGTTTTGCTTATTCTGCTTGCTGCAACAATTTTTGGGAGTTTGAATTGCTAATACTTGCAATCAGTGTGGTTCGCTAGGGGTTACTCCATTCTCAAAAATACCTTTCTTTGTCAGGAGTGGGATTCGAACCCACGCATCCGAAGATACTGCGCCCTTTACGCAGCGCCTTACACCACTCGTCCATCCTTCCTTATTGCTGATTCTTTAAAACTTTAAGTACTTTTCAATCCAGAGAATAT